CAGTCTGTTTGAGTTAGTACCAGCTTGGCCTTTTAAGAATCAGGGAGTAGAGTAGAGCCGAGTAGGGCCGATGGAAACAGGGCAAAACAAAGAAAATTGGTGTATTGTGCTTTTGCATTAAAGGTTCTGCTATAAATCACGCTCATGTTTTTTCAACAGTTTGTATTAAAACGTGACATTTATTTGTTTATTTGATGCATTCAGCTTTGTTCATGCAATGGTGTCAATGATGTTCAACAAACTGAATGACAAGAGTGCTGTTAGCACAATGATAATAAAGTCATTCTAAAACTATAAAAATTTGAAAATAGCAGCAGTCTTGTCTTTTTTTTAGATTCAAACTGTTTAAGATTTCTGGGGGCGACAGAAGCTCAGTCGGTAGAGCATTGGCCTTTGGGCCTGAAGGTCATGGGTTCGAGCCCACCATGGGACCTACTCACTCCTACAAATGTCTACTGTTGTTGTGTCCTTGGGCAAGACACTTAACCCCATGTTGCCTGAAGCCCCTGCTGAAAGAACAAGGCTGCGTCAAGAAGCCATCTTCCCGTAGAATCACCACCTGCAGAGGATCAGCGAGGGACTGGTGCTGTGAACATTGGGGGGCAGCTCTCATTGCCACCCCCCCGACCCAGAAAAGGACTAATAAAGGTGTTGAAAATGAATGAATGAACGAATAGTGAAGAAGAGTGTTTTTACTTAGCAGGAGTATTACAATATAATAATAATAATAATATCTGGTATTTGATTACACATACGCAATAAATTATTTCTAATAGTTTACTGATTTGACCAGGCCTGTAGTTTTGATTATAATCTAACAACCAATCACAGAACTGAGCACACGGATGCTAAAGGAACAACTACAACCACAACTATTTACAATTACGACTACAACATGCCAATCCACACGAGGTAGCCAAGGTTCTCACCACGGGAGAGTAGAGAAACAAAACAGTGGCTGCCCTTGAAGCTGGGGTACTAAAATAAAAAAATAGAAAATAGAAAAAACTTCTGAGTGTTTCATGAATACCAACCGACCTAATTAACCATACTTAAACCTTACTTAAATAATAGACCTTGTCCAGACCGTGATTGCAGTCAGAGTGTTCTTATTCCCTTCTTTTTCTCTGTATTGTTCGCAACGATGAAACTAAAATGTCCCCATTGTGGGACGAATAAAGAAACTGTTTATTATTGAAGGCTAATCTAAAGCTTTCCTGGTTGCTGGATGTTTACACATGTGCACCTTTTCACTTTTTTTTTCTTTTGCAGATCGGGTCCATGTGCTGCGTTCCTGTGTTGTGTGGTTTGTCCGGGTTTGATGCCAATCGTGAACAACTGTGACGCACAAACTTGAGCAAGAACAAATTAATAAGTTGACGAGGAAGGACAAATTGTCTGTGTACGTGTCTTACCGTTGTGCTTCTCACTGGTGAAACCCTATAATCAATGGCGGGCAAGTTTATTTCCTGATCCATTCTCCACATACCTGAGCACAGCCTTACGAGGACACACACAGCACTACAGCAGGTGGCTATTGTGTCATGCAGATGTTGGCTTACGTGAATGCACTGACATAAATTATACCCTTTGTCAAGTACATTACATGAGAAGTTTTGATCTGGACTTAGAACAACATTATTGCGGATACGATAGCTCATGCTACAACAGCAACGCAAAAGATACAACAAAATGCAAAAGTTTGACGGAAAATAAAGGACAAAATATAAAAAGTGGAAACAGAGGCTTTCGACATGCTCATACTGGACAGCCCATTTCTTTATTTCTAAACTGCTTTGGAACTTTTGGTCACAAAAGTACTAGAATATCTACACTATTATTGCTCTTAGTAATCTCCTATCTCTTCCCAGGGCTCCACCTGTTCACATCCCATTTAGAAAACATAAAAAGTAAATAAAAGTGTTGCACATTGCACATCAGTATATGCAATTCAATGTCTTCCATCATCTCCACAAAAAACACAAATTTGCACACCCACACAGCAACATATAGTGTGAATGTTTAAATGTAATGTATTATTCGATAAAAAAAATCAATGAACCAAATGATTGTGAGTTAGAGCCCCAACACAGACATGTTTCCAGTGTCAGGGCCAGTATTTACCAAGAGAATGGATTGATGGATGAATTAATGAAAAAATTAAATGAGTTGTTTTAATTTAAAATGCAAAAGTTGTATATTTTTGAATTCCACGCATATATAGATAGTTTGCATTTGGTGAAAATGTATTTAGTTTTGCCTTATCAACAACAGTGTGGCTGTGGCTGTCCATGGTAGCCTCGATAATATAGAATTAATAAAATCTACAATTTCACCTCAGTGCTGGAGGGAGGTGGCCCAGCTGGTGTCCTGGTGCAGCGGTTAAACTCCCCCCAAGCCCAGTTGGACACTTTATAAACTTTACTGTCACTTCATATCTTTGTCATGTATCGATAATCTGCACTGATGAATGTCTATTGTTTGTACTTACATAATAGACATTTTGGAAAAAGGTAATGCATGCTTTTCTATCTGTGCTGCTACTGGACACCTGAATTTCTCCGACGGGGATCAAGAAAGTATCTATCTATCTATCTATCTATCTATCTATCTTCTACTTTTCATAACTTCTCTGCACCATGAGCAAAAGCAAATTTTCTAGATTGTGACTTCTTGTTACTCACAATGTCAACAACAAAATATAATTCTAATTCTGGAGGAGTTGGGGACAAAAAGAAGGCTAATAACCACAGTGATACAAAGAAAACTACAGTATACAGTATTTTCCATCATCGTTTGCAAATAAATATTTATTAGATTTTTTTTCTCATTTTGTCTCACATTGTTGAGGTATACATAGAATGAAAATTACAGACCTCCAACATCTTTTTAAGTAGGAGAAATTTGCTCCACTGTATATGCTAGAAAAAATGGCGCCGTGGCAAGAGATTGGTGCACACTGGGGTAGTCTTGCACAGTTTTTCCAATGTGGTTTTACTGCAAATGGCAAATAAACAAAGCACAAGGAAAACCCAAAGAAAATGGACGCTTTCAAGGCTGAAATAAGCCAGAAAAAAAAATGTCTGAATTCATTTCATCTGTGATCACCTCCAAATGTGTTTGCTTTGATCTTACTGATGCATTATGGGTAAGCCCTTTTGTCAGTTTGCTTGAGTAAGGAGTGATGATTTTCTTTCTTGTCAAAATGCCACAGGGCCGAGTTGTTGTGTGCACAAAACAGTAATGTTAAGTTAAATAAGTCTTTTGTTTTCCTGCATGTTTCTGTTTAACAAGATAATTATTCTTCCTGTGTTAAAAAAATAAATTAAAAAAAGCTTTGATTTTCTACAGAGTGATGTTTTGCAGTCGTTATTTTTCACTGGCAGAAGTATCTCTTTGCGCGTGTTTGAGCAAGTTCAGATCAGTACAAGTCAAAAACATAATACGTTGTGTTTTTTTTTATTTTTTACCATGTCCAATGCATCTTAGTTTTTGTGCGGGACCCATTTGTGCGTTTTGGTAACAATGTGAAGGGGGAGAAGTAAACTACAAGGTGGGATTTTTGCTGCAAGAAAAATTTAAAGTCACTTGGATTGTATCTCCATGTTATGCCTTTAAAACACTTTTTTTAATGTGCCATCAAGATTTCAGTTTATGTTAAGGACAACACAAATTTACAGGACATTGTGCAGTGCTTCCCAAAGTGCGGTCACTGCAGGGGGGTTCCCAAATATTTACCACAGTGCCCCACACAATCACCTGTAAGGATTGAAAGCAAATATACTGCTATGTTTTTGTAATAACTGTCTTCTGCAATGTCAATCTTGTATGCACTTGTACTTTGGTCTGAATAAAAAAAAACATCTTCAGTATAGATGTTTTGTAGGGGGGCCACAATCAATCAATCAATCATATTTATTTATAAAGCACAATTCACACAGTGTAACCCAAAGTGCTTCACAAGACAGACAATAAAACATAAAAACAGTGTATTTACATGTAAAACCTATTGTATTAAAAAAAGATAAAAGTTACAAACATTTAAAAAATATACGCTTCAAAATTAGTCTTATGCAAACCTGGATAAGAAAATTGCCAGGGACGAGGCCTGTCTCACATGCTCAGGAAGACTGTCTGTTCCAGATTCTATATTGTCTTTCTGGTTGGGATTCCCAGGACTTTGGGATTGATGCTGCACAATTACAATAGAAAACCAGTAATGCAACATACAGCAAAAATAACAGTTATAATCGGGATAATTATGGTATACATTTTCAATTTATTTTTTTGGTGTTGTTACGGGTATTTATTTATTTTTTTGCGAAGAAAGTTGAATTACAGAAGTGAATGGACGTTTGAGTGATGTTCCACATTTTCACCTGTACATATCAAAGATCAAAAAAAAAATTTCTGGGGAAACGGCCAGAAGACCAATACGCCAAAACTGAAGCTTTAACTAGAGAAAAAGTGCTGTTATTTCACACATTATTTGTATCTCTTTCTACCTGTTTTTTTCCTTCTGTCTTGGCTTTTGCCCATTGCCACAAGCCAAGACCCAGGTTTGAACTTGCATTTAGAATCTCCTTGTTATTGGCACAAACTGATGACCGGTGACAGTGAAAGAACAGCCTGCCCACGTCTCCCTTTCTTTGGCAGCCAACTGGTGGGCGGGACATATACACAAAACACTGGCTCTGATTGGCCGATGGGTACACACGCTCTGCTATAAAATCCACTCCCTCAACATTTCCTCTTCACAACTCAAAACTACAAGAAAACCTATGGTCTTTCACTCAGCATTATTTCAGCAGATGATTCAAAACTCTCTAATCTGTAAGTATATTTCCCTTTTGTCTTTTGCTTTTTGAAGATAATATTAAGCTAAACTGAAGTAGATGTTGACTGTTTTCTTATGCTTTCATTACAGATAAAGTTGGATTTTTCAAGACGTGAAAATTGGAGGTTCAAGATTTGGATATTCTATTTCTTGTATCTGAAACATGGCAGTGCATTTTACAAGGTATGAGACAATATTTTTAATTATGAATGTTATGGTCCATGCTTTGTCATTGTTTAGAGGGATTTCATATGGTCAGGGCATAATTCATAATTCATACTGTTTTTATGACTTGACCAAAAACTTGAGGATTGGTTGTTACTATTACTATTACTACCACTGCTAGTTGTTCTTGACATTGTGTACATTATTTAACATTCAAAATATAACCATAGCTACTTTGATTTCTATCTTTATTATTAGACTGTTTGTACTTTTATTGGATGTTCAATTGGATGTTCAATTTGGATCTATCGTGACTGTTTTCTTATTTTTTTTAAATCTGCCTCGCCATTTAAATCTAGTAATATTCAAGTAAAAGAGACTTAGAGAAATTGATTAAAATCAAAATAAAATCTTAAACGGAGAGTAGACAGGTCAAAATATCAGAATGTTGTCTTCCCATGGATTGATACAAAAGAAGTGCTCACTGAAAATGAACTATTTAGACACATTTGTGGACAATATCTGATAAATATGGATCCAGTGAGGATGTATAGGTTTTAGCCTTAAGTTGAACTAATGAAAAATGGGATAAAAATTAAAAGTGCTGCGCAGGTAGATAGATGGGTGTAATAGTAATATACAGGGATATACTTTATAAATGCAGGAGAAAACAAAAGCAGCTCTGAGTGATTCTATTTGTGCCAACTGTGACATGTAAATTTCTCCAGTGTGATATCAATAAAGTATATCTTATCTCATCTTAACTCTCCTTTGTTTTTGTCCAGAATGCTGCGTGCTCCCTCCACTCTGATGATGCCTTCAGTGGACCTCGCCGCCTGCCTGTCGCTGCGTCAGCCTTTACACCCGCCCACGCGAGGCACCACCGCGCAGCGCCTGTCCCCCGTGGCCAACACATCCTACGCCTTCCACCCACTCCTCTACCACCCCTCCCGCTCGCCCTCTCCCACCAACGCCTGTCCGTCTGCACCGCGTAGCTGCCTGCGTAGGGAGCACGGCGGGCTGAGAAAACGTGTCTCCTTTGCCGACGCTAAGGGCATGGCTCTGACTGCCGTACGCCTCTTCATTCCGGATACGACGTCATCCGTGGGACAGCATTACAACATCATGCCTTCGTCTGTGCTGAGGAGATTCCAAGCCAAGCAAGAGACTGGGGTGTCAGCAAAGAGCCCGGCTTACAAGCTCAGGCTGGCTTTCACGCAACCATCTCTCGATTACAACGTCTTCGTGTCGCGGCAGAAAGAAACCGGGCTGCAATTGGAAAGCTGCAACGTGTCGGAGTCCTGCGTGAGCGGGAGAGTCAGGGTGTCTCCGGTGGAAATGGAGCAAAATGTGCATGTGAGAATAAGTTTTGATTCCTGGAGGAGTCATCACGATATCCCTTGCGCTTTCTTGCAAACGCAAAGATTGGGAGGGCAAGAAACTGACATTTATGCCTTCGAACTGAGCCTACCCATGAACCTAGATCGCATCCACGGCATCGAGTTTTGCGTGACTTTGGGAACTGACGATGTGTTGCTGTGGGACAATAACAGAGGGAAAAACTATAGGATTCATGTTGAGAAAGATGCCAGCGTGGAGCAGGTGGAGGTGGCGCAAGGGTCTCCCAAAATGTCCCGGTACCAGCGGCTGCCCATGCTGGCCCAGATGACTCCAGTGGATGTGAGGAGCTATGCTGAAATGCCACACCTCAGGCCCTTCATGCACATGGGGGTGGAGAGGGGAATGTGTGCGGTCAAGTAAATGAAATGAGATGGACATATGAGGATGTATGGACAGAAAATGTGGAATTCAAGATTATTGAAAAACTGTGCACTCAGATACTGTGTGAAGGAAGCTGCTTGCAAAGTTTATTGGAAGAATGTGTTTGATGACCAGATTGCGACAGTGTCAGATAATCTCAATTACTTTGATTTGCACACTTGTGAAATATGTAAATAGCTTATTTATGTGGTTTTCAAATAAATTATGATTTTTCTATTTCCTGGTGTCTTGCATGTCTATATCATAAATACTTTTATAGTAATAATAATGCATCGGTTTTATATAGCGCTGTTTTGGACACTCAAAGACGCTTCACATGTCATTATCACCACCGTGTATGGAGTGAAAGAATAAACAACTGTAGCCACAGCTGCCCTGGGGCACACTGACAGAAGCGAGGCAACCAGTATGTGCCATCAGCCCCTCCGATCACCACCAACCATTCACACACACCCCAGACTCATTCTAGGCAATTGAGGTGAAGTGTCTTGCCTAAGGACACAACAGCAGTTTGGCACTTTACAGCCGCCCCACTGTACAGTGTTAAGTGGAGGAAGTCTTGAGGTGGGCTCGAAACGCACCACCAACTGAGCTACTGTCGTGGGGGTGCCATACAGGAGCATGTCACACTTATTGCACATGGTTTTTAGTGGTAGTAGGAACTGGAGCACCTGGAGGAAACACGAACACATGCAAACTCTCCACAGAAAGACCCCATCTGGAGGTGGGATCAACCCCAGGACCTTCTTGGATCATTTATGTATTTCACCAATTATTTAACACAATTAACACAATGTTAGTATAATATGTTTAAACGAACAAATCGCTCAAAGTTTTTATTTATATACCGCCTTTTCACTGCAGATCTGAGTCTCAAAGCAGTTTACAATTGTTAATTTTGGGCATTTGTCTCTCACTCCACACAGAGATGGGAGCGGGGTCGCCAGTACAGGAGGCACATGCCAGAACTATTGTACATATTTTTAGTGGTAGGGGAAACCGGAGTACCCAGAGGAAACCTACGCAGACACAGGGAGAACATGCAAACTCCACTCAGAAAGGCCCTGGTCCGATCGGGATTCGAACCCAGGACCTTCTTGCTGAGAGGCGAGAGTGCTATCCACTCAGCCACCGTGCCGCCCGCTCAAACAACATTACAATTGATTTAGTATTTTTTGACTCCTCTGATTATTACTTTTCAAAATATTCAACAATCAGGGTCGCGAGTTGATTTGACAAATATTTTGTGGGGCCCGAATAAAAAAAATTATAAATGTATAAATATATATAAATATATATATATATATATATATATATATACATTTATTCAACTGCAGTCAAAACCATAATCCTATGAAGAATGAAATTACCACAATATTAACAACAACGCGTTTGCTTAATTCGTCTTACATGTTGAACCCTGCCATTCAAGTATAAATTACCATTACAGCTGTCCAATACGTAAGCCTCTCACTGAAAAATAAAAGCATTAATCATTACTTTTGGTTAAAAACGCTCGTCAGCTCTGCTTTGGCAGTGTTGGAGACATAAAACTGTTGACATAGGGAGGATATGGTTTTTGTCCCCTCATGTTTTAACCTGAAAAAGGAAAAGATTGACAGCTCATTGAGTGAAAGCCAACTTACTTGACAGCATTCAAGCACTTTTGTTTGTACTAGGAGTATTATTTATTATAGCCTCTTTAATCATACCGGTTTAGGCGACTCCCTTTGGCTCCGTGCTGAATTAACCCGTGAGAAATACAGCACAACTGAATTTCACAGATATTAAACCGGTTTTCTCAATCTTAAACAAAACATTTATGATTCATGAAGCAGCATTAAACATGAAGGCTGTGCATGTAAGTAGATGTAGGTGTGAATTTGGAACAGCCTGTTTGACTGTACATGTGCATATTGTGTAGTATAGGTGTGTTTGCGATGTCGTCTTTGGGGACAGGTTTGTAAGTGAGAGTGGACGGCTGAAGACGAGAGTGGAAAAAAACGCTTTAGACCGAGAACATAGAGAAGCTTCGGGCTCCAGATCAAATGTGTGAATGTGAATAATTATAGTATTATTATGATGAACATAATTTTAAATATGTGCCTGTGCTTTGTAAGTTTATTGATGTGATTGATTTGTTTTAGCCTCGCACCAAAGTACATATATTAGTGCCATATTACCTGTTGGTGCCCAGAGTCAGGACTAAACGGGTGTGGACCTTTTTTTTTTTGCCTGATGAAAGCCCAAGGCCAAAATGTTGCACATCTGTAAAAAAAAAAAAAACAAATACACTAGTGTGGCTTAGATGGTACAGCATGGGTCTCTGGATGGTTGTGGTTCGATCCCCCTACAAACCCATGTCATCTGCTCCCACTGATGTATGCTGTTGTTGTGTCCATGGGCAAGACACTTTACCCCACATTTCCCAAAAGCTGCGCAATGTTTTCCGCTTTTAATAGATTTATGCAGTTAAAATCTGGAACAGGATGAATCTAAAATGCTGTCCTGCCGTGTTTTGTCCGCAATCTTCGCCGGAAAATTCGCAAGCCCAAGGCTGTTTAGTCCTGACTCAGGGCCCTAGCAAGAGTCCAGTCCCTGTGCTCCTCAGAGTCCCAGCAGGAGGCCACTGCTCAGAGTCCCAGCAGGAGGCCAGTCCTACTGGGACTCTGGACACAGAGTTTAGTCCTCCTGCTGGGACACACATGTCACAGATGTACTTCGGTGCGAGGCCATGGACACAAGCAGAGCTGCTTCAGTCTATTCTCTGAGACAAATGCACGCAAGAATCTCATATAGACACTACGTATTTTTTTATTTTGCCAATGTATTTTGCTCGTAAAAAGCTGCTGTTTTTGAGGATTTGATGTGGCTTAAAATGCAAGTCTGTCACTAGTTTTCACATGCAAGTGAAAAAGAGAGGACCACCCTCACGAAGCCAATCAGCTCAAAGAGTGACTCACAGGGCTCTTTTTTTGGATTGCAAAAGAAAACATTTTTTATTATAGAATAACGACATCAGGTCTGTTCTGCAATATGTTATGCTTACGTTTAAGACTCTCAGTTGGGACAAACCAAATGTATTATTTATGAAACAAAACATTTTGGTAACCCCCCTTTAAATACATGCACAAGCTTGTACATTTATAATATTACTTTAAGTTAAGGCAGACTGTTACTGTTGCCAAAAGTTTTTATTCTAGAATCCATGCGTTTACTAAAGCACATTAGGACTTGTACTTTTGGCACCTCTGATCAACTTGCAGCCGGGAGCAAACCAGGTCAACACTCTGATCCAGCCACAGCTCCAGGGTGAGGCTTGTTTGATTTGACGTGAATCCATTTTCTCAAGGCTGGGAGTAATTATTATTTAGACATACATTTATTTCGAACACAAACAAAGCAGAAGTGACACAATGCACCTTTAAAGCAACATTCATAGCATCTATCAGGTGGTCGCTGCAGATTTTTGAAACAAAAATAAGTCGACACATTGTGATAATCTATGGGGGGAAAGGGCCTTTCTTGCACACCTGCAAGGTGCAAGAAATGGCTGGGTAAGTCACTGAAACCTTGAGCTTTGAGATGATTGGCTGCAGGGGTAATCCATAATTCATCATGTGTAAATAGCTGTTTTAGCAGATTATTATGTCTAGTTCCAATTTTACTGTAACATTAGGCACCCCAGCTTTAACAATAGTAATCCAGTTTGCATAAAAACGATTGCAGTTTGCATTGAAACGTGTCCAGGAAGGAGGCCAAGTCACTTTGCACTTTCTCATAATTTTGTCCACAATGCCTGCAGGCTGACTTATCACCTCTCCTCCGTGCGTCACACATACCAGACAAAACAAAGCAACAAGTCAAGTAAACGATTGTTAACAGTCCGCAGAAGTGTTTAAACCACTCCCAACATGAAAGAGCACAACCCAGGAATGAACTGGGAGAACCGCTGAAGCAAAACAATGTGTTGCCATAGTGACGTGCACAGATCAGGTGGGCGGGGTTACTACAAGCTGCGAAAGTTTCAGAGTCTCCTGTTTCTCCTCTCAGGTTGAGATCAAATGTGATTTTGCTTGTATTGAATTGTATTTGTTAATAAAACGGATTTTTTTGGTTATCATGATTAAATTTTTATGTTAGGTATGGAGCTTTGCAGCAATTGTAAATTATGAAACGTTTGTTTGCGTTGGGAATTTACCCAGGACATTCCAAAAGCCTTAGTCAAAGAATTCCTGACCAAGAGGCAGCAAGGCACGTTTTTCTTTCTCTATACATTTGTAAGCCTCATTTGATTCAAGTTATGTTCATTTTGAATAAACAGCAGTTTGTGGATGATATGAAGAAGCATAGATTTTGATAATAATGAGCACATAATTGCATTTATATCTTGTATTATTTCATGCAAAAAAAAAATGCATTCTCTATTTTGATGAGGGAAGCTTGACATTAAAGACACGTCATTTGAAACAGTTCTTAGCTTCGGACAGGCAACACTATCTGTCGAGACAACACTCGAACTGGAATATCAACAGAGAAAGTATTTTATTGTGTACAAATAAATGTTTACAGTGTTTTACAAATTTGTTACAACAATATAAAACAAGAATGAACCAAAAAGTTGAACTGCAATATATTATAATTTAGGAAAATAGGCGGGGCAAACCATCAACAGGACAGACAGGACGTGAAACTCAAACAACAAGAGAACAAATATGTAAAATATAAAAAAAAATATTTAACTAAAAGATACAAAAAGACCACACCATGACAGTATTTCTGTTAAAAATGCAACAAAGTGGAGGAGATAGAGGAAAAACACGACAGGGGTTGGAGCTAGAGTCAGGGTACAGACGCCTCAAGTTTTGGAAAAGCTGCATGAAGATGAAAATCCAGGCCGTTCTGTTTAACCATAGGCTCTAACAGAAGAGCTCAGAGAAGCCGCAGAAACACCCTCCTCCTCTCCGTAGGCTGCAGAA